TGCATTAAGTTCCTTTATTATAGACGTTGTAGTATGAGCTCCTTAGAGCATGTCCATTGGGGTGCTCTCAAGTGTATTCTTAAAATATAAAATTATTAAAACACACACTCTCTCTTTCTTTTACTCAACTTTATACCTTCTCTTTCATCTTTTTACTCAACTTTTATTAATTTTATATTTAAACACTCTCACTTCATTTTGAGAACACTATCTAAAAGTACTACTTTAAGAACACTCTTTTTTCCTTTTACTCAACTTTTATTAATTTTATATTTAAACACACCCACTATCTTCTCTCTTTACTCAAATTTTATTAATTTTATATTCAATACACCTCACAAAAACACTCTCTTTCTTTTTTTTACTCAAATTTTAATAATTTTATATTTTAAGAACACACTTGAGAGCACCCCAATGTACATGCTCTTAGAAGCTCCCATTTATGTTTCAGACACAATCTTTTAATAGAAACCAAAGTATTGTTTCAAATTTCTAGCCTCTTGAGTGGTTTTCCCTTGAGTCTGAATCCATTTATATTCTTATCATCCTTGTGTGGTTTCAAATGTGTCTGAATCCATATGTTATGATCGGATCTTTTATGCTTGTTATATATCCATGCCTTTGAGTGTTTGACGTTGTAATAAAAATTAACGTTAATATAAAGTAACCTAATAATTTGTGATTAATATTATGAAGAGACGGAGATTTTATAAATGTTGCTGTTGAATGTTAACATGGCATGCAATAATTGTGAATAAACTATTTGTAAGTCTTTTCAATGATTTACAAATTTAGCATCCCAATACGAAAGGTTGATTGAGAATGGACCCGACCAAACCCAAACATAAAGAGTCACATGCAAATAGACATAGTAATTTGATACAACGAACAAAGCGCATTGTTCTGAAATTTTGTAGCTCAACACACTTTTGTATAATCAAAAAGCAAAACAGGAAAAACGAAGAAACTGGCCAGGTTGTCTCATTCAATAAATTGTATCTGTTTTGTTGAAATAAAAATTGAACAATCATTCGTACGTAAACGGTAAATTCTAACCGCGTTATAGCAACTACTCTCGTGTGGACGCTTTTAATCACAGCTCAGTTATACTACATGTTGATTTTTTTATTTTCATACTACACTTGTACATCCTTCCAATTAAAAGATTGATTTGGACTGCTAACATGTGTACATATTACCTATGTGGCATAGTGTTCTAAAATATTCTAGATGCTTATTAGGCAGTAGATGAATGTCTAGCATCTAAATGTATACGAGACCACTTGGACGGATACCTAAACGGACAAGATAAATTTCAAAAAATGCCACTTTTCAAGTGCCACTTTACAAAAATGTCACATTTTTGAAATTTTTACAAAAATGCTACTTTTTCAAAATTATTTTTTTTTATATCATTTATGTTTGGGTTAATTATGTTCTAG